ACACACACACACACACACACACACACACACACACACACACACACACAACAGGCCTGGTGTTACATTGAAAAGGTGTGTCTGTCTGACAGAGCAGAGTGTTGAAGAAACCATGCAACCATTAGGCTAATAGAATAGAAGAGCAATAGGTTGCCTTTAATTTGTGGGAGTAAATAACACTTCATAATATAATAAACCTTTGTAATAATTAAGGGTGAAAAGTACAAGTACAATTTTATGGTACTTGTACTTTATTTGAATATTTCTATTTTCTGCCACTTTTTGCTTCACTGCATTTCAGGGAAATATTGTACCATTTACTCTCCTACATTTAACTGTTGTCTATGGTTACCAGTTACTATTACAAATAGGATTTTAGATAAATAAACTTATAAAATAAGCTAATACATTTGAAGGATCAAACCAGTGTTTCCCACCCATTTTGGCTTGGCATGCCTCGTAAAATACAGTGTGTAGTTGAGGCCCCCTGTAGATGAGTTGTTAGCGGTTCAAGGCCCAAATTATCCAATTATCTAATAACCTAATAAGTGTTTGAATACTTTTGATGCTTTGAACAGTAAGCAAACATGTTATTTTAAGTTCTAACTTGAGTGTGAAACCAGTAATTTCCAGATGTCATCAGTACAAACTCTTGTGGTTTCTGTCATCAAGGCCAGGCTGGTACAGCTTGGTGTGAATAACATGAAGTTTCAATGTCAGACTGTCTAAAATATAAATATTGGCCGTAGAGCTGCAGGGCCGTCACGGTTACATAAAAACTCAGAGTTCAGATCTAAGTTTGTAAGTGAAGCATGTCAGCTGACATTTTACAGTGACTTGGCTGGCTGCTGCAGAGCTTTGTGTTTCACTAACACGAGTCCCTGTTTCATTTCCTGTTTCAATCAGAACACGCAGAATCATTAAATGACCTCTCCAATGCCTAAAGACAGGATCTAACAACATGTACTAGTTTTCCTCTCCGGAGCCTGGGAGTTTGTTCATTGGGTGTATTTTCCTTATAATAATATTTGAGGTGATTGTAGATTTGTAGATTCTAGAAATATAATCCTCTCAGTGTTAAAGCGAGTGTTATTTGAGATAGGGTCTAGTTTTCTAGGAGGGAATAAAACAGACAGTTCTAAACAAGTGTGAAGAACTACTGTGTCTCTGTGAAATACGCAATCTGTTGCTGTGTTTTTCTGTCTGTGTGTTTGTGTGTGTGTGTGTGTGTGTGTGTGTGCATACTGCGAGGGTGGTATGAGAAGAGTCCTTAAACAATTCACGGAAAACTGAACACCTCTGCCGAGATAAGATAATCACCCGTCAGTCATCTTTTTTTTTGTTCAGGATTGGTGCCTACTTTGATTAGTGTCATATGACACCAAACAAATCTGACTTTGCTAACAAGGGAGTGGGAGTTGAGAGGCCAGCAGCAAGGGCAGTGTCACCCTTGAATATTTGGTGTTAAACCTTCAGATTTATTTTCCCTTAATGAATGGTAATTTGACAAAGTCTTAGATGAAAGATTATGCATGTTTTATTCATTCTGAATCCTACTTGAATGTAAAAGCAAAACAACCAGGAAATGTCTTTAGCTATAAACTGATGTTGGATAGTAGATTATGTGAATCAAAGCCCATCAACAGCTGGAGATGCTGAATAGAGCTGTTGAGTGCAGATATGAGTTTCCACAGAAATGGCATTTAACTGACCTAGATTGGAGGTTTCACACAGTGGAAAGCCACTGGCCTGGCATCAGATCTACTGGGTAGAATTGCGCATTTTATCAGATTTCTATTCAGACAGAGGGTTGACCAAGATCAGCACTTCCTTCTGTTCTCAAATCACTTATGTGAACAACAGCACACAGATAGACCACAAAACTTTCCAGTGATTCACTCACCACTGTTTGTTTTCTTGCACGTCTTCTCCAGAGCAAGGCGTGGTGGAAGTTGAAGACAATCGTCCACTGGCCCTTGGGTGTTACGCAGAGGAGAAAGCTGAACTGGGTTCAGCTAGCCGGGCATAAAGGTATGACCTGTTCAGATCGTTGAACTTTTCTGGCAGCTCTATAGAATGAGAAAAAAGGAAGGGTTGGAGGTCATCACCATCACCAAACTGACAAGGATTCAAACTTAACTGTGATGGATGTTAGATCTGTTGGTTCCCTCTACCACTATCTCCTTGCAACAGACACAAACATTGAATTCAAAAGTTCCATGCCACTATAAGTGACAGTCGTGTTACTGGACAGTCGAACAAAAGTTTCTTTTTTTTCATTTTCATCGGTCTTCATCCCATCTCAGGTAACTTCAAAGCAGCAGGCGAGGGCAACATCCTGAAGAAGTTCTCCGAAAACGAGATGCGGTGTTTTGAGAAGCTGAGGGATGATGCGCTGCTCCCATTTGTGCCCAGTTACCATGGCACTGTGGAAAAAGATGGAGAGTGTTTCCTTCATATGGCTGACCTGCTGGTGAACTTTGACCTTCCCAATGTCATGGACTGCAAGATGGGAGTGAGGTAAGGAAGTAAGCTATTAATTTAATAATATAACTTATAATAGATATTTTAAGCATTGATTTGTAATTATAACCATTTTTTAAATTTCTATTCATGTAATTGTGTCAAACTGTCTCTGTAGTTAGTTAGAAATGAATAATTTCATATAATTTCCTTGTTTATTTATGTGTTTGATATTTAAGTTGTTTTGTTGACGTGCAGCCTGGGGACAGTACGTGCCACCATTTCTTTTGCTTTACAAGGGAACACCTGTTGTAACTGCAGGCTATATGCTTGGCTTCCTGCCACAGCGGGCGGGGTGCCGCACTGTATCATGTGCACAGGCACAAAAAACACACAAACACACACACACACACACACACACACACACATGCAGGCATGAATGCATGTGAATGTATGCATTCACATGCTTGTGCATATGTTTGTCTGTATTTCTGAGGCTACACACACGCACACACACACACACACACACAAGCACATTCAGGGTTCCCTGGAGACTCCCCTCCATCAAAAACACTCACAACCACAAAGTTGCAAACCACTAAGTTGCACTAACACACACTCAGACTTTCACACAGCTCAACGTTGCACGCTAGAGTCTACTCTCAGCTTCCCTCTTCAGCACAGAGGAAGTGTAGCTCACAAACCGAAACTGAAATACACATCTGTTTGCACATAACTGTCTGATATCAATACGACAACTGTGCATGTGCTGTTGTACTGTTCACCAGCAGAGCTTTATACTTTCAGAGTATGCTGCTCTCAGCTGAGCGTTTCAGTGACGGCGTTTTTGTGCACTCGCCAGCTTCTCTGCATGAGTGAACACCATTAGAAAGGAGCTGATGTCTCCAGCTTCTAGTGCAGCAAAAGAGTCCCCTGTGATGAAAAAGCTTTTGGATGTCAACTACTTGCCTCTTAAGGGTGTGACTACAAGACAAACCCTGAAAGTAAACGTTACTATTTACTTACATGCGGATAACCCTTCTGTCAGTTGTCTGAAAACATATAGCTCCTGCACCTGAAGGCCTTTTTCCTCCCGCTGTTTCAGGACGTACTTGGAGGAGGAGCTTGTTCGGGCGAGGGAACGACCCAAGCCGAGGGAAGACCTGTACACGAAAATGATGGAGGTGGACAGCGAAGGCCCAACTCCCCAAGAGCATTCCCAACAAGGCGTCACCAAGCCTCGCTACATGCAGTGGAGGGAGACCATCAGCTCCACCAACACCCTGGGCTTCAGGATAGAAGGAATCAAGGTAGAGGGAGTGATATGGTCACCAGTAATTCTATAATACACTTATTCAGTTGAGCAAGGCACTAAAGGACGTAGAATTGTACACGTGAGCAGAATTTAAAAAATCACAGAAGCAGAAGAATTGAACAAAAGCAGAGTGAATATTGGACTTACTTTAATCAGGTGACCAGAAATGCGACTCCAAATAAATGCTTATGTTGCTTTGTGTCTGCTGGATGTTTAAATAATGCACATAAATCCCAAATTTATGTGCAAAAAGTAATTTTATTGTGTAAATATTTCCTCTCTTTTAGAAATGTGACGGTACGTGTCGGACTGACTTCAAGAAAACCAGGTCGAAGAACGACGTCACCCAGGTGTTCAAGGACTTTGTCGGAGGGAACGTCAACATCACAGTACGTGACAGTCAGTTCGCTTCTGCACACATATCCTGTATGCCGTGTATTCATGCATGTAAGGACAAACACAAAACATACTTTACTGTGCATCTACACAGGGCAGTCTCTCGCGGGCATGACCTGAAAGACAACGCCAAATAGAAACAGCTCTCACATCCGTGTTCAGTGTTTGGACAAATATATAATTAGTTTGTATACTCTCTATTTACTTTGGGAAAAAAAGGCTGTATGCATTAATCATCAGACGATGAATGCAAACAGCCTTAAAGTGTTTGAACCGCACATAGAAAATACTTAGTGGAATTAATGTTGTTTGAGTTTTCCATTGGGAGATTCCCAAATATACACTGCGTCTACACCCTTTTATTTAACAACTGTAGCTTCTATTTTATGGATTCAGATTAAAATAGATTTTAAATATAAGCATAGGCTTCATGTAATGTTTTTATGATCCGCCTGTCACTGTTTTTTCTTGAAATACAGAAGTCTTACCTGAGCAGACTGACGGAGATCCGACAGGCCCTGAAGACATCACAGTTCTTCATGCAACACGAGGTGATGACTGATCTAAACATGAGAAAAACTAACGTAAAGCGCATCAATAAAGTGCTGCAGCCGGAACTCTACTTGAGGGCTCTGAACACCATTTCTCCAAAACATGTTCTCGGATTTTGATGACGTTGTGGAGGGCACTGGTTAGGACCTTAACAAATAAATAACTATTTAAACTCCTTCACTTCCGGCTAAACTGTTTAGAACGCTCTGTTTCTTGCTAACTAGTTTGATTCAATATATGGTCTTATTGTTATCTAATCGTAACGTATGCATGAATGGATGAAGAGAAGCAAAAGCTAATATGAAACCATTCCTGTTCTTCGTAGGTCATTGGCAGCTCTCTCCTCTTTATCCACGATCACACCAGCAATGCACAGGTCTGGATCATTGACTTTGGCAGGACCACGGCGTTACCAGAGGGCCAGACGTTAAGCCATGACATTCGCTGGCAGGAAGGCAACCGGGAGGATGGCTACCTGTTGGGGCTGGAAAACCTCATCCACACTCTGGAGTCTGTAAGCAATAAAGTGACAGCCGAAGAAACTGTTTGCTCAGTTGCTAAAGAAACAGATTGTCAGTGACCTTTGACCTGTAGATGGATGAAAAGAAGTCAAACTATTTTTAACACCACAGAGAGGTGTTAAAAATAGGGAAATTTAATAAATGTTGATGTGCTTTGTGTGATGGATGATAAATGTTAAAAATGTGCAGAAATGATACGAAAAAAAGCCTAAGAGCAGCTTTAAAAAAGCCACTGACAGAAAAGACACAATAGACACTGAACAGAGAAGCAGATAGTTTGTCGCTAGTTACTGAACGATTGAGCAAATGAACTGACACTAATTCAACTTCCTATAAAATGAACAGAAGTGAAAGTGTAAGGACTCTGCATTTCAGTTTCAGGGACGGGCTTGTTCCATGTGAAGGAAATGCTCATGAAATACGAATTAAAGCAAGGAGAGAGTCCTCAGTCCTCCTTATTACGATCTAACCCTCAGCTCTGACAATACATCTGTAGGTGTAATATTACAGAAGTAATTCAGTGCAGTATGAAGCTCAAAGACCTCACAGTCATATAACTACAACACAAATATAGTACTGCATACTGTATAATTGTTAGTGTATTATTATTAGTGTCACTGTTTTGACAAACTCTTTTATTGTATATCAATTTATATTTCTTTCACTGATTTTGTTCCTGTAATCAAACTTGTTATATAGCACCTTTTTGGGTCTTTTTCAGAGATGTTGTGCAAATGAAATATATGAAAATGTACGAGAATTAAAATGGGCAAGTACTGTTCCTTTTTTCACTGTTATTTTCAATAGCAAAACACACTTGTGGTATCTTTATATGTATGTTAGCCAGAGCTAAATTCACTCTTTACAACTGATAAAACTCACACAAATAAGATCAATATATGTTGATTTATTGGGGCACAATTAGGTTAGAGGAAAGGGTAAAAGACGGTATATTGCATAGAATGTCTTTGTATTTTTGGTTGAGTCATTAACACCCTCACCAACATAACGAATACAGAAAAAAGTGTGAAATAAAACGCACCAGACCATAAAAAATATACACTGTGAGCAAGACAAGGGGGATTTTTTTTCCTTCTCTGTAAAATGAATTCCACAGTAATCTATATTTCTAAATGGCACAAATCTCACTAAAAATAAGTCTTTGGAAAATAATTTGAGCCTTTTGGTATAGGTCACCATTTCAAGTGGACTGTTGAGCAACCCAAATAACACTCACCAATATCAGCAGGCCTGAGCATAAAAACACACAGAAAGACTATAGAACCCTTATTTATATAAGTGTAACAATTCATTCAACATACTAAAAAATAAACTATCGACATGTTAAGACTCAAAATAAAGAATTGTATAAAGTAAAAGAATAACGTATTGGATACAACTACCAAATCGATTAAATAAGGACAAAAAACAATAATACTGAATAGAGCTTTTAACGGTTGATTAGTTGAGATACTTGCAGCAGCATGTTTGGTAGATCCAAGGCTCAATACCTCCCCCTGCTGAGTAAACATCGGTACTACCAGCACGGCACCAGTAGATGCAGTGCAGTGGTATTTAATGGCAGTGATACAGATCCTTCATTAACACACATGAATAATAATAAATGAAAAAAAAAACAGCTACAAATGCAATGGGTTAGTCCAGTGTACGGGAGAGAATACAAAAATAGCAAATATTTTCACAGCTGCGCGGTCATCAAATTCTACACGCTTATACTTTTATGAGAAGTCCAAGTAAATATTGGGACATGGGGAAAGAGAATAGTCAAAAATATGCAATGCCAAATCAAGATCTATGTAGTTTAGCAAAGAAATCTCAGCACAGAACGTACAGGAAGTGATTTTCACAAGGAATCAACGCTTATCAGAAACTATTTAAACACCATAAGGGGAGTGTTTTGGGGGAAATGTTCTTATCTTTTTTCTTGCAGAGAAAATCGATACCACTCTTATGTTTGCTCAGTAAATTTCAAGCTACAGCCAGTTAGCTTAGCTTAGCACAAAGACTGGAAACAGCAAGTCTGGCTCTGACTAGAGGAAAATATATCTGCCTCCTTGCTCACCAACAAACACATTATATGTTGTTTATTTTAATCTGCACCAAAACAAAATGTAAAGTGGGAGTAAATGCGGGACTATTTCCTGGCCAGGAACAGTGACTTTCTTGTCCTCATTGTGAGGTTTGCAGGAAGTCAGCGGTAACTGCGTCTGGCTGTCTGTGAACACCAGACTAAAACCAGCAGCATCAACTGGGAGGAGGTGAAAGTCAAGTGACCAAGAGTCAGTGGACAGCCGGAGAAAGATTCACATTTGACACCCTCAGACTATCCTCAAATAAAAACAGGATTTAGGATTTCCTTGTGTGTACGACCGCTTGTTCTCACGCCACTGAAATTCCATACTTGCATACAAACTAGTCCATCTCCATGAACAACTGAGAAAACTCCATTAGCTGGTTCAGTGTTGGAAACACCAAGTAAGTAGACCTGTTATTGCTGTATATTAGGCGTATCTGTTTTCACATTATTTAGGGTGAAAGCAAATCAGTGTCACGTTAGTGAACCACGTAACGCAAGTTCCTTAAGTATGCATAAAACTACAAGTGAAATAGTTTTAGTAACTTCACAGCCTTTACTGAATTTCAATCATTTGAAATAAAAAAAATCGTAAATAAAAACACATCCTTGGGGATTCTCTTCCCAATGGCTCAATATCTTCATGTTGTTATAGTCCTACTGTACAGCGATTACTACAAATACCAACAAAATGTTTACTATAATGCAACATATACTACTTTCAAAGCCTTCATGAAAAAAAAAGAAAAATAGGTAGAAAAGGAGTCCAACTACAGCAGTTATTGAATGTGGCTGCATGTCACAGGGCTGCATGTTGTCCAGTGTTTTCAGCTACCAGTGTACCAGAGGCCCAGGAAAGAGCTCTGAGTCCAGCGGGGCCTTTCTGTATCACAGTGCAGAGTAGTGTTTGTGTTTTCCAGCATTCCAGGAGCTCCAATATGTTGATGTGCTGGCCACTCAGACTGTAACAAAGCCCTCGTGGTCATGGCGTTTTGTTCCAGAAATCTAGTCTCAGGTTGTGACATTTGATCTTCACATCAATCAGAATCCCAGTTACAGTAAGCCGTTTCTTAGATGGGGGTAACGCTGAGGTCTTCAGACAGAGAAAAGCCTGAGTCTCGGTCACGTGTGGGTTTCTCAGCTTTGGTGTGTCTCCTCACGTCCTCGTGTCCGTAGCTGGCGTGGCGCTTCAGCAGCAGCTTGGGCATACAAGATGAGGAGGTATGGAGGCCTAATGCCAGTCCCAGGCTTGTACCTGAGGAGACACTGGGGGCAGAGCTGGTGTTCGTGATGGCGTCTGGGGTTTTGGGTATGACCAAGGGAAGGCTCTCTGCCTCGTAGCTTTGCTCATCGTAGGCATAGTTGACGTTGCCACAGGGGAAACTCTGGAGCTTCGCCAGGTCCATACCAGCTTTTATGATGCCACCTGTTGGGGTCTTATGGGAGGACGTGCTCGGGGCAGTTTTAGCTTGGCAGGACGGGGATGAGGTTGAGGAAGTGCAGAGGCTGGAGGGGCTGAGGTGGGTGCTGTTACACTCAGCTTCGTTGCTCTCTAAGGTTGGGTTGCAGGTCTGAGGAGCCTGTGTGTTGGAGACGGTGGCAGCAGAGCTTGAGAGTGGCATGGACTGAGTGTGAGCGAGTGTTTTCTTCCCCCGGAAGTTTTCCAAAACCCAGGAGCCATATGTGGGGTTCCACAGGTTCTTTGTTTTGTTCTTCAGCCTCTGGCTCCCTGAGGAGGAGCTGTTTCTGGAGCAAGGTCGGTGATGAGGAGGCTCAGGGTGGAGCCAGTGGCCTCCTGCTGACAAACCAGGGGCAGGAACAGGCTCAGCCCAGCACGGCTCCAAAGCCTCACGGCATGATGTCACTTCGTGGTGGACAGGTTGGGTCCTCTGGAGCAGTAGACGGGGTTTGGTAGGCTGTGGGGGAAGAGGTGTTGGACCAAGGCCCAGAGAGGAGAGACCCAGCTGAGAGGGGAAAGCCTGGGAAACGGGATGGGACACTGAGAGTGGAGTGAGGCTGGTGGAGGTGTGGTCAGAGGGACGGATTATTGTGCCACCATTGTCCTCTGCGGTGGGGGTATATTCCATTGGCAGGGGTGTGTTGATCACATCTGGGTCCTGGTACAGAGCAGTGAAGGGGAACATTAATGAAAGAAAAAAAAGAATGAAGGAAGGAAGCCTAAATAAATATTACATGTATTTAACACTAATTGCACAGACAGGTGTGCTATAGAGCATACCTGAGAGCAGTAGTTAATTCTTTCCAGGATAGTAGAGAAGTTGGGCCGGTGCTCGGGACAGTGTTGCCAACACTGGGTCATGATCCGATAGCTACATACATAGTAACAGACACACATTTCAAATCTATTGTTTAAGCTGTTTGTTATATGAACCATCTTATACATAAGTCACGGTATTATCATACCAAAGAGACAAAATAAGCAGAGAAAACTTTAGAGAGTTCCATCAATTGAACATTAAAGGTAGTAGACAAAGCAGAATCTGTGCCATTTTCTCTAAAGTCATCCCTGAAATCATCCCAGCTGTGCCCTGCTCCTGTCAGTACTCACACAGGCCCCGGACAGCTCTTGGGAGGATCCATTCTGCCTCCACTGTTGACAAACTCCAGCACCTCTTGGTTGGTTTTACAAGGATACGGCATGAAACCCAGAGAGAGGATCTCCCACAGCAGCACTCCAAATGACCTGCAGGGGGAGAGCCAGATCAACAACTGAGTTGAACCTTGCTCATGTTTCTCAGAGTGTACCAGAATCAACCTGAAAGCACTGCCTCGGTTTATAACATCTATAAAAAAGCTAATTATTATTGAAATGATAATGCTTACTAGATGGTTTTACTTTGTCTGGTATTGATTGTCCAAGTGTTTTTGTACTATAATATTTATCTATATTATTCTAGTGCTCCATTAGAACGTCCCAGATGGTGAACTGTGATGCTTCAACACAGTTTACATTTCCCCACAGTTGTTCCCAGTTTGTGGTAACTGGAGCGAAAGCCACACAAGCCTCTCTTGTTTTTTTAAAATTTGTTCTGCTGGAAAATAACTTATTTTCTAAAGAACTTCAAGTGTGAAGGAAGAATGTACCTCATCAGAGTTTAACTATAATTATCTGTGGTCAAATTGTATACTGTACATATTCCCACCACCAGTCTGACTCTGAGTTTTATGGACAGCTCAGCTGTATAATCTGTCATCCCACCATAAAAGACTCTGATTGCACCTATTAAAGTTAAACGTACATGCTAAGTATTCAACTTCCTTTGTCATTGAAAAAGTGGTTTGGATACTGATCCTCACTGCGTTCTGTCTCCAGTTGGCTCTGTGTCTTGAACACAGATTCTGTTGCTGTCTTGTTCACTTGATACAGATGTGTGGTTTTGTTTAGGAGTAAAATGACTTCAATCTCTCCAGCTGGTGTTGTACTGACTGCATGGATGCTTTTTAAATTAGCGGCAATAAAGCGCTGGGATACGTATCAGAACAATTAGTAGCAATGAGAAAGAAAAAGAAAACGTTAATTAAACCCACGATATTCAGCATTTTTCAAAGACTTACATATTTGTGTAAAACCTCTTTGTGGATAAAAACGTACCACTGTATAGAGTATAATGTGTGCCTCATATTCATACCATGTATCAGTCTTGCAGGTGAAGATTCCCTCCATGAAGGCCTCTGGTGGCATCCATTTGACTGGCAGCATGGCACGGCCACCTTTCCGGTAATAGCTGGCTCTGAGAAACAGAAGAAAAATCTGATTTGGAATGTCCATTCGTCATCAGAAGAGAAGGTAAATACCTCAAGGCCATGAACTCTGTAAAGTAAATTCTGAATCTGGCTCCGTGGGGCATAATGAGATAGCTTTTCAACTGGTCCCCCATGTACCACATCAACCCAGTGCTGTCCAGACTCCTTCTCCAATGAGAGACATCATCTTAAGTCATCCTGTGCGCTTTGTGCTGCCATGCAGTGCGTGATGATGCAGATTCAGCATACAAACCTGTATATGTCTCGTGCCATGCCGAAATCGCCAATTTTGGCCACTCTGTCTGGTCCAGGGCAGGTAAGCAGGCAATTTCTAGCAGCGATGTCTCTGAAAATCACAGGATCTGTTACTGAATGTAGCTTCATGATGGCACTTAACTCTCCAAACCCACCTAAATAATGTACTGCATGATAAACCCGTAGTTTGTTGTTTTTTATTTGTTGGAACATTTTAAATCATTAAAAAAGAGGATTGATGTAAAGATGGGCATAAACCAGTTACAGTCACCTAAAAGTCGACATGTTTCCTGCTGCAAAACAAAGTTGACTACTGTAGTTTACAGTAAACAAGGTCCACTTGTGACGAGAGGAACAGCTCATACAATCTATCAAATCTAGTGTTTTTGATGCTATAGAAAGGGCCTTCTTACAGCCCATAACACTTTATTTTTGGGTTGTTTAAAAAGGAGTAGTAACATCTGGGGCCAGATCTGAACCTGTGTATGAAGTGGTTCTCCTCCAGGTAGCGACAGCCGAAGGCGATGTCTCTGGCCATCTGCAGCAGCTCCCGCATGGTGAGAGTAGAGGTCTGGCCCTGGATACAGCACAGCTCAATTTAGTTGGCAACAAAAACACACGCACACACACACACACACACACACAACTCAGACACACACAGAAAAGGTGGAGTCCCGACGTACAGCCCGTGGCCTGTTCTGTCTCAGGAAGCTCTTCATGTCTCCTCCCGTCATCAGCTCCAGCAGAATAAAACGAGGCAGGATGTTCAGACTGACGCCGATGCAACGCACAATGTTGTCATGGCTGAACTTGCTGCGTGGACAAACAATGATTAACACTGAGGTTAGCAGGCTTGTAATTGTGTTTGTTAATCACATACACAAATCGCTGGTAGTTCGACTCTTTAAAAAGTGTCGCACTAGGGACCAATTTGATCGATCAGTGGTGTGCAGTGTTTTAACTCAGAGGTGGTGCCAGGTTGGAGTGGTTCTATTGGTACCACTCAAACCTTTGCTGATGGAAACATGAAAAAAGCATTTAACTGTGTAACTAAACTGCACTACTTGGTGGAATGTTGCGTCTGTTGCATCACTGTTTGGCACGGAACTTTTCAGCTGCAGACAGGAAAGCCTGCGGGTTGTGAGGACCAGTTTCCAACTGTTGGAGAAAAGACTGCAGCGCTACAAAGAACTCCTCTCACCCCTTCCCAGGTCTAGTCGACCCGCTGAGGACACTTTGATGTTTCTACAGTCAAGTTTTTATTACTTTGTGTTAATTTACTATGTTTATGTTCTATTGTAATATGCAATGCTTATTTTTACTTTTTTTAGTTTTAATTCCCTATTATTATTATGTATTGCACTTTGGCCCTATAGGCGCACTACATTTTTTCCTACTTTTTGTAAAACCTGTATAAAGAGAAATGACAACAAAACTTGATTTTTATTGCTCCTTAATTTCCGTACATGTGTGTCATGTGTGTGATCTCAGCTCTATTATTTCGAGGGGCTGGAACTCAATTTATCTAAATGGGTAAATCGTCTTTGATCCAGTCAAAAAAAACAAATGCACGCCAGATGTTTGTGGAAGAGACTAGTTTCACACAGCAAGTTATCTGTATTAGTTATTTTACTGAGACGAAGTTACAGTTATTATACTGAGATAAAAAAATACCCCTGCAGATTTTGTCCTTAAATAATTGGCTTCTCACAACAACAAGGTCTATATGTGTGTTACGCCCACTGAACTAATTCTGTTCTCTTGTTAGAAGAGAGCTGTGTCTGTGTTTGAAGTCTGCCACGGCCCCTTTTCAGTTCCTGGAGCACTCACACCTGAGAGTCATCAGTCCATCAGTGGAGCTGAATATCAAGCCCCAGATGCAGTGCTTCTGCTCTTGTTCTCTCTTGGCCTTTGAGCTGTTTGTCTGCTGCCGTAAGCGTTCGTACTGCTGAAGCTGTGTTTTGATTGTTCCTGAGTACAGGTCTATGAGGTTACCCTCTGTCTTGGCCAGCTAGTTGGTGGGGAGGTGGTTAGTAACCAGCCTGGGTAACTTTGGGGGTTCTCTGCCGTTTACTTTCTCATTTCTGTTATCTCCTGTTTTATGGTTAGTTAGGGAGCTCAGTATTGCATTTCTGTTTGTTTCTGTAGGCCAGTTGAACTTCTTATTTTCTAGTTAGCATGGGGGTTTTGTTTATTTTGGCCTTTTAGAGACCTTGACGTCCCTGCTTCCATTTATTTCTGTTAATCATAACTCTCTCTCTCTCCCTAACGCAGCAGCCAGTTGATGGCTGATGATGTGAGAACACTGCTGCCTCACACGCCACAGGTGTTCTGTAAGAAGGATGTATTGAGTGAATCAACGCGTGAACTGCAGTATGGTGCACCTCATAATCAGGGCCTCCATCAGGAAATCCATTTCATCCTGTTCGGAGCAGATTTCTGGAAGAGTCTGTGGAGCAGAGAAGCAGTTTGAGAAGCTGCTATTGTCAAGAGGCAAGATATCAGGAGACCTAATCAGCAGACTATTGAAAAGGCAAACCCATGTGAAGATCACTCAGCTGTTTCTTTTTTAACCTTGTGTAGTTTTTAAGCCAAGTGATCTGAGGTCATCCAATCCTTCCGTGCAGACATTGCAGTATGTCATTTCATTTTTGCATTATAAAGATTTTTTACACAAACTAGCTTACTACATGTTTATATTATGTAGTAAGTAAAGCAAATAACCCTTCTCTAAACTATCGCATTACAAAGACCTTGTCTTTTCCTTCATGCGTGTGTGACCTTTAGATCCAAAAGGTAGGAGGCACCCCTGTGGGATGTTGATTACAGATGTTAATGAACACAACTCTCCTCGAGATGCTATCATCTGACACTTGGGTGCAATTTGTCCTCGTATGCCTTACAAAGTGTAAGCTGACCTTTATGGCCACCTGCAGGGGGCTGTTATCGCTGCTCATCCCCAGAACTTGTCCTTCATAGACTTCACCGAATGCACCATGGCCGAGAGCCCTGACAAAAAAAAAGATGAAAAATTGAAGTGAAACAATCAGTAAAAATCTGTATTCTAAGTAAGGGCATCGGCCCGCAGAGCCATCAGAACCTCAAAAGGACATCTTGACATTGTGTCAGAGTATGCTGGACCTGAGAAGTGTTATGTTCTTGCGTGGTACTTCTTTCAGTTCATTGAGTGAGGCGGACTTCCCTGCAAAGCAGTAGTTGGGGTTGTAGTCTGTCATGATGGTGGAGGAGCGGATCTTGCTCAGCTTGTACTCTGGACTCTGCAGATGCCGCCTCACTGCATGCAGGTCGTTCTTCCTGCGGTACCAGACTGAAGACGGAGACAAAACCAGCTTCTTTTACTTCAAAGTCTCAGAACTTTTTTTTTTTTTTAAATCACAACACTAACTGGACCCCATACTTGCATTTAAGTTGTAGAAACAACTTCCTGACCATCTGCTAACTGTAGAAGCAGTAACACAAGGAGGGGTCGAGCCGCATCTCAGTACTGATGCTTATCAATGTAAAAACAACATCCTTAGGGCCAGTGGGGAAAAAAGTGAGTCTGTTCGTAAAAGAGTTGGTTGACAGACACTTTGATGTGGAAAATTGGTGTTCACCTTTAAGAAGACAAATCCTACACACTGCTAACTTCAGACAACTGTGTAAATGACCAGGGTAAACCTGATGAACACCACTTGTGCGTAAACGAGCACGCCTTTGTGAGAAATGTAAATTTGTATAATTAACGCCACAATAACATTATACAAACCTGCATGTGAAGATGAATGTAAAGAACCATCCATCCGTCTCTGCCAATATGAGGGCACTGTCTAAAGACACACTCTCTTCCAAGGGCCTGAAGCGCTAAGCCACCCAAAAGTAAGCTAGCCATGAGGTGCCTGCTTACACTTCTCACTGACCTTATTATATAGAGACACATTTACCTCCAATTAGTTCCTAATTTAAGTCGTTTTGCAGCTTGAGATGTTCATATTGATACTGAAGTGTTATACAATAGCATATTATAATTCAAATTGCAGAGTCAAACAAGATAATGTCAACTTATCTACGAAGGGTAATTTATGTAGGATTTTCTAATGCAAAAATGCCTCAAAAGAATGAAACCTTTAGTGAAAAACAGGTTTGGATAACGGCACACTAATTGCACACTCCAACAGGTCTTGCCCACTCAAAAATTGTGTCCATACCAAAGAGAAAATTAAAAATACGAGAAAATTGGAGAGCGCGGCAAGTTCTCCTGAATCACTCGCACAAGCCACTTTAGAACAAATCTGTTCATACGAGTGGTTCTTGCATGAGGCCCAATGTTTTGCAGGATGCATGAGGGATGTCCTCTCCTTGGTTACTGCTCCTAGACTGTCTGTGCCAGTGAGTTTGGACTCACCCGCCATGGAGGCAGCCCACATCCCCGATGCAGGTTGGTAGTCTGCCAGGGAGGGGGGGGCGTTGTGTGCAGGTAAGAGGTGTCGTAGAGCCATCGCCCGGTGCAGATGCTAGGGACTCAGGGGGGTTGGGATGAGGGGTGGGTTTGAGGAGGAGGAGGAGGGAACGGAGGAGGAGATGGGGCGCCCAGGGAACAGACTACCCCCCTGCATGGGGGAGAGCTCAGGTGAAGAGACACTGTTAACCTGAAAGCGTGTGCGTAGGTGTGCTTTTTGCAACGGAAAGCAACATGTATGTATTTGCACAAAGGTTACGTTTTGTTTTAGTATTTATTCACTTGCAAATTCACACAATCACACTCAGTGCGGTTAGTGAGGAAGTCACACTTAATAGCTCATCCATTTTTCATTACAAAAAGCACTTTGTCTGGTTATTACAGGAGTCATGCAGTTTCACTCCACTTCTGTTTGTTCATGGCTATTAATTATATATACCTAACCATTGTATCTGCTGAAATACCATTTATCTGATGACTAATATTTGTTGGCCTGGCTCATCTTAACCCTACTTCAACTTTAATTTATTTCCCATTTTTATATATATATATAAAAGCAATACAAACATTTCCTCAAATCTCCTGAAGGGAGGGTGCTCCCAACAGGAAGAATCAATTCATCTGTTATTCTCAACATCCATTACTGGTATTCTTGTAGTCTACTGTTGTAAAAATGTGCATTTCACACATTTACACATGCTTCTAATAACAATACATATAAAAGGTTCTGCAACTAGAACATATTATACCAAGTGATGTGGAGCTAATCTACCCAATCTAAAATAAAAAAAACAGAAATGTCACTCCACAATACAACAGTGTTGTGATACCTTTTATGCAAAGTAGCGGAGCAAGATTAAAGCTCATGAAGTGTCTTAAAATGGAAAGGCGATCCTCGAGGGGCATGAATGTGAGGTCAGTAAATTCCATGTCCATCTTATCGGTTGATTAGTTTACCTTTCCTGTGTACAAGGGAAAACGATGTAGTATGTGGTGTTAGATTTAAGTTCACCAGAACGGGTCTCGCTGCAATCATTATAAATTGATCACTTAAAAGGAGGATTCTTGTAGTAGTTTGGTCAAAACCACAAACTGCTCTTGCCATGGAGCCTGGTTGTCTTGTCAGACAGCGTACAAGCCCAGAGAGCTGAACATGGGATTGATATTTTACAGGAAGTCAGTGCTGTGCAGATTTCTCCAGAAGCCCACACACAAAACTTAAACTCACCAAGACTGAATGTGAGAAAGAAAAAGCGAGTCCTCCACTGTTAAGCTTTACTTATTCAGCACATTCAGTGACGTTATCGAGAGAGAGGGAATATTCTGTACTCAAACATCTTAGTGGAGGATTAGTGGTGGGCCAAAACGTCAGGATTCCCTTGCTTAATATCTGCAGCAGATGGTTGTCAAAAAGGTGACAAAAGGTGCAAAAAAACATGTAATTAGCTTTAAAATCCCTCACTGTCCTATATTATTGCAAAATTACTGGATATGTTGTTGTTAAAACTGCATTTTTTATAAAGTGTGCAGTTAATAAAGCTAGTTTTACTAAACATGTCAACATTAAACAGTTGTATTGCATAGCAGCGTTTGAGCCCAAGATAAATATTAATGCAACATTAGTAACATTAGGTAATGTCAGATGACTAATTCATCTTAAATATTAGATTGTGGTTGTCTTCTAATTCCTCAGTTGTCTCTCTTTCTCTTTCTCTTGAGTGTTATTGCTCCTGAGTAGTAAATAAAACTGGTTAATTGTTAATTATTCCTATTTTAAGCGGTTTATTCGTGCAAGAATCATCAGCAAAGCATTTTACAGCAATTCTGATTGTCAGATTGTCTCAGATTACAGAAATCGAATAAATGGAGTCATCTCTTCATTGAAAAGCAACCACTCTTTATCACAGCGCTTTGTGTCTTTTTTTTGCAATACCCGAATACTCGTATCACAGAGAATCAATGCCCAAGGGTTAGGATAGACTATATGCTTCCCAAAATGACTACAATCCTATATTTGATCACGGTTGTGATTTGTTATGTATTCTTTATGCCTCATAATCATTATTGTTTCTTCAGGGGTTTTTTTTTTTTCAGCCATTGAATCATAACACCTGACATTTTCTGCTGTCTTCTCTAACTCATCAGTACACATCTCCAGCTGGGAAACTTCCTTGTTTAATGTCAAATCTTTCTGCTTGTCCTTTTTATAGCCAATACTGTGTTTTTATATCAAAATCAATGTCATACAGTGAGATGTTTACAGTACATCTCTACCGTATCGTGCTTCCGTGAAAGAAATCGTAGTGTAGGCAATAAATACATAATCTCATCTCACTTCTCATCTGCCGTACAATCTTATTTCACACTTTGTGGCACAAAGAAAAGAAAGCAAAAAGGTGAGTCACCTGAAATAATGCTTGTAATAAATGTGTCCATAAGTGCTCAGCACATGTAATTCGGAGCCCTATCTTCTCCACAGCCCCTTTAATCATCCGACACAGCCAGAGGACGGCATTTAAACCAACACTTGTCAAAAACGTATTCCTGTTTCAGCAACATCTGGAAGCATCTGTATCTCCAGCCGCTGCTCACAGCCGGTGGAAGGTGGAGGGTACAGACTGCACACAGAACTGGATAAGTCTCTTACTGAGGATGACGCCAGTGCAGATCAGCGCAATGCCGCTCGCAATGATGGAGACCACGACTGCCAAGATCAAAGACGTCGACATCTGGCCCTGCAGAGCCGGGCCTTGAGGAGCTGCTCGGAGAGAAGGGAGAAGAGGCCAGATTCAAAAAATTCAAAAAACGGCTTTAGTTTGGATTGGACAGAACTTTGAACGATTTATTGTTTGCCATTAAAATGAGCTGTTAACACACTGTGGCTTTCATACAATAAATAAAACTAGTGTTTGTTAGAGGCAATTACGTACCTATGGTGCTGACACATGTGACGTTGTCACTGGCCAGGACTTCGTCGTCGTCGTCGCAGAGACAGAGGATGAGGTGAGTGTCCTCATCTCGTTTGCAGCTCTGTGTTTGACAGTGGCTGCAGTTCAGCCGCACCTTGATCTCACACTCGCCATGACTCTCCATGGCTACAGGGGACATTGAGCACACGGATGCAGAGAAACACAAACACCAGACACAATTTGTTAGGGAGGGTGATCGTTACAGCGCCTTGCAAAACATTTCACACCCATTGGCGTTCCCATTTTGTTCCCATCACAACCTCAAATTAAACTTGATTATCATTTGGATTTTATCTAGTACTACACAAAATAGTCAAAATTGATGAAGGGAAATAAAAAGAAACTGGTTTAAAAAAAAATAAAAAAAATCTACATAATTAAAAAACTGTATTCACCCCATATGTTCCGAAGCCCCTAAATAAGGTCTCTTTGTTGCCTCTCTGGTTAATGTCTCCCTTTGCCTGCCATGAGTATTGTTCCTCTATTGGCAGGTCTGTTGTGGCGACATATTCTTTCCATTTAGTAATAATGGATTCAATGGTGATCTGTTAGATCATCATGTGACACTCAGATTGCACACAGGTGGACTATTTAAATAATCAAGTGACTTTTGAAGGTAATTGGTTTCATTAGATCTAATATAGGGGCCTTCATAGCAAAAGGGGGTGAATACGAATGCACACACCACTTTTAATTTTTTGATTTTTTTTTGTGTGGGTCCATTACATAAAAAACAAATACAAATCAATTTTAATTCCAGATTATAATGCAACTAAAAAGGAAAAAAAACACCAAGGGGTGCAAATATGTTTACAAGGCACTGTAAGTTTGCAGGACAATCCAACAAGGTCAGCTGATGTTTTCCTTTTTTGTCAGCAAATCTCATGAAAAGACCAAACCCAACAATGAATTGAAGTATTGTCTGTGCAGCCAAAGCCTGGTGCTTTATAGCTTATTCTTGGTGCCATAGCGCTTAATTGTGTAAAAACACACCAAAAAGCCATGCGCCGTAATGGCTCCCCAAACAAACGCTCTATCCCGTATGAGCAATGTTCACTACAAACTACAATGGCCAAATTAGTTAGCCTTTTATAAAAATGTACAAATATTTTATATATATATATATATATATATATATATATATATATATATATATATATATATA